CACACTACCCCTGTCGATGCCCAAGCGGAGGTCATCGGTCAGATGTGTGTCCAAACAAGGGGGACTAAAATGGTGGAAGGTCTGGAAACCATGCCTTATGAGGAGAGACTTAGGGAGCTGGGAATCTTTAGCCTGGAGAAGAGATGGTTAAGGGGTGATATGATAGCCATGTATAAGGATTTGAAGGGGTGTCATATTGAGGATGGAGCAAGCTTGTTTTCTGCTGCTCCAGAGAATAGGATCCGGAGCAATGGATGCAAGCTACAGGAAAAGCGATTCCATCTCAACATCAAGAAGAAATTCCTGACAGTAAGAGCTGTTGGACAGTGGAAATGCTCCCACAGAGAGTGGTGAAGTCTCCTTCTTTGGAGGTCTTTAAACAGAGGCAGAATGGTCATCTGTCACAAGGAAGGCTTTGATTGTGTCTCTTTGCATGGCAGAATGCACTTGAACTGGATGGCCTTTGGGGGTCTCTTCCAACTCTAAGGAGTTTATCACATGGGCAGGATCCCTTGCAAAAACGGGATTTAAACTGGGGGAGAAATACACAAAAGCAGATTGTTTTTCAGATGACGTCTGAGATTAATCCACACAGAAATTGGGAAAACCCCCGCAAAAGTGGGTTGATTTTCAGATGACGTTGGGGTTAATGAGCAATAACGCGACATTAACCTGGACAGAAAGGCGACAAAACGTGCTTCTTTTTGGGATTTTCTGAAAGCAAAAAGAAGTGCGTTCTGTCGCCTTTCCGTTTGGGTTAATGTCACATTATTCTTCATTGAAAATCAACCTAATTTTGTGGGTTTTTTTTTCTGGGATTTTAAATTGCATTTCTGCACAGAATTTGGAGACTTTGCCTCTGTGTGATAAACTAAGATTTTATGGTATTTAATGTTTCTCTTGTGGTTGTTAGGGGAACAGCGGGGGGGGGGTTCCTACTGGAGATGAGAGGGCACTCTTTGCCAAGATTTTGATGCCACCTAGGGGTACTTCGATTCCTTGTTGCCCCATCCTATATTTTTGATGCCATCTAGATTCCTTGTTCCCCCATACATTTCCAAGCAGTGAGGAGCAAACATTTTAAGGCTATTTACAATATTCCTCAATATTCCTCCCACTTTCAAGGAGAAGGACAATGCGTTGGAACGGATCAAGCGGACAGTTGCTAATAGAAAACAGGACTAAGTAGGAGCAATAAGGAAAGGAGTGGCTTGCTTTCTCAATACCATAATCTATAGCCATATTGTGTTATGTCCTCAGTGCTGTAACAAATCTGTTGCTATTGTGTGCCTTCAAGTTGTTTCCAGCTTATGGCAACACTAAGGTAAACCTATCACAAGGTTTTCTTGGTAAGATTTGTTCAGATAGGGTTTGCTATTGCCTTCCCCTAAGGCTGAGAGTGTGTGACTTGCCTGAGACTACCCAGTAGGTTTCATGGCCCGAGATGGGAATCAAACCCTGGGCTCCAGATTTGTAGTCTAACATTCAAACCACTAGACCACACTGTCCCTTAGGTTCGAACTTAATACAAGGTTTTCTTGGCAAGATTTGTTTGCCATTGATTCTTCTCTGCAGCTGGAGAAAAAGTGTCTTATCCTAGGAAATAATTAAACCATTATAATTAAACTATTTAACTTTTAACTACAGGTTGCATCTCCCTTATCCAACATGCTTGGGAGCAGAAGTTTTTGGGGTTTTGGAAATTTTTAAAAAATTATTTCAGAATATCTGTATGTGCAGATAGGTACATCATGAGATATCTTGGAGTCCCAAGTCTAAACACAAAATTCATTTATGTTTCCTGTACACCTTGTACACCTAGCCTGAAGATAATATGTATATCTTCAGCAGCATATTATATGTAATATCCCGCTTTCTCACTATTTGGTTTGTTTTATTCATCTGATCTTGTTTATTTTATATTTTTAACTACTGTTGTTTTAATCTAATATGTTTTAATCCTATGTCTGATTTAATACTGTTTTAAGGGAGGGGGAGGGTATTGGGATGTATATATAATTTGTAATTTTAACTTTTGTTAGCTGCCTCGATTGCACTCAGAGGAGCGGGCTAAAAATAAAAAAAATTATTATTATTTATTATTATTACAGTATTTTTAATAATTTTGTGCATGAAACAAAGTTTGTGCATACCGAACCATCAGAAAGTAAAGGGGTCACTCTCAGCCACCCATGGAAAAGCTTTTGGTTTTTGCAATATTTTGGATTTTGAAATTCCAGATAAGGGAGACTCAACCTGTAATAAAGTTCCTGTTGTTGTTTACTTCCAGTCTTTTCCAACATAAAGTGACCCTAGGGCAAACCTATTATGGGGTTTTCTAGGCAAGATTTATTCAGAGGATGTTGCCATTGCCTTTCCTTGAGGCTGAGAGCATGTGACTTGCCCAAGAGAGAATTCACATTCCGACCTTAGTCACAAAAATGATGCAGGATCCCTTTTTCATAGACTCTGAGGGTTGGAAGGGAGCCAGAGGGTTATCAAGACCAGCCCCCTGACAGATGCCCATAGCTGAGCCGGTTGGTCTCCAGAATCGTAGACCAACACCAAACCACTAGGCTGCACTAGCTTAAGTTTGGGAGAAAATCAGCAAAGGGCTTTCTTGGAGAGCAAGCAAAATTAGGATGGTTTGATGAAACCTAATGCTTTACTTGAGTGTGGAAATAGTTCCCTGTCCCAAGGTGCTTGCAATCAAGGTGCAATTGCTTTAAATGTCTGCTTTCTCTCTCTGTCTTTGCTGAATTTTTTTGTTTTCTCTTCCAGAGTACAGATTCGAATGGGTGACCAGGCTCCGCTAGCCTCTGGCTCGCCTCCCCTGTATGCACCGGTCAGTGTCAGGTCCGAGTGGGCCTCTCCGACCTCCTGCTGTGTGTCAACAGTCCCTCAGCACCTTCCTTGCACCCTGAGCGACTCTGCCAATCTCCAACTTTGGAATGATTACATCAAGGCTTACCATTATTGCTTCTCTCTTGGCCGCTAGCGGAGGAAGAAGGGCCTCCGTCCCGGCGCCATCTCCACCTGGCAGTCGAGGAATGGTTTATCCATCCATGTGGAAGGTGTGTGTGTGTGCAATTCTGAGAAAGATGGAGAATTCGCATTCAGAGCTCAATCACAAAAATGAGACGGGTTTCAAAAAAGGGGGGGAGGCAGGCAACTGACTAATCATTAGGAAGACTTTGTGGCAGCAAGGATTACTTGAGAGTGGAATAAGACACACAGACCCCAAAATGGAAAGAGTGGACTCACTTGACAGTAGAATGGACTCATTGTTGTTGTTGTTTTTGTTTTTGTTGTTGTCGTTGTGCATTGGGTGTGCAGTGTGCAATTGCCAAGTTTGGGTGTGCATCAGGCTGTCTGACATACACGGCCCTGACACCATATGGGGGAGTGCCCTAGTGCCCATTGATGCCCACTACCCTTTTGACCATTATTGGCTACCATTGTGCAATGGACACCCATACACTGAAATGTCATGGTGGCTTTTAGGTGCATATGGACATTGCAGAATGACACAATTCAATTTTGCACACATGTAAGGCCATTGACGGAGACGTACTTCCCAAGCCGAATGCCAGCCGGTGTCAGAATACACAAGGGGAGAAAGAGAAGTGTGAGCGATTGGACTTGGACCCTCCAGACAGCTTTGTTTTAATCGGGATTGTCTGGTCCTTGCAATGGCTGGGGCAGAACAGAGGATGGGAAAACATTGGCACTGAGTGTTTGATCCTGACCTCTGGGGTGTGTGAACGCAATTGCACAATTGGCTTCAATAGCAGCAGCCACAACCCATGTCTGGGCTGTGCAATTTGCATGCCTTCCATTAGCATATATTCAAATCAGGGCCTTTTCTTCCCCTCCTTGTGTTGTTTTATAAGACAACAACGCACCTGTTTGCTATGGCTTTGTGCAAAACCCCATCGATGCCAGCAAGCGGTGTGAACAAGTAAGGCCTCTGTGCACAGGCAAGGAACCATGTGTGTTATCTGAAAGGAATGATCACTCCAGCAAACTACCGTATATATTATTTTGTAATCTATATATATTATTTTGCAAACCTTGGCAAACTATATATTGTTTTAGGTATTCAAAATTGTGTAACTGATCCCCCTGTCTCAGAGTGGCACCCAAATAAGACAAGATCAACCGTTTGAACCCAAGCCAGTTTGCAATAGGAAAAGAATTTAAACAGGGTGAGAAAAAGCATCAGACAAGAGAATAAGTTAGCAGAGTTTCAAGGCCACAACAATTGCTACTTTTTCCGCTCCCAAGTGTTAAAAACGATGTCAAAACCACACATTGAATAGGATAGGAATCTTTTGCTCAACGCAATTTGGGCTTTGTTGCTTGTCAAATACTTAGCAGTTCGGTTTTTATGAGGAAGTTTCTTACTACACAACTGAGCCTCAGTTGGATTGTTCGGTTTGCAATAAAGATGTTCATATTTGGCTATTTTGTCCTTATTGAGAGATGACAAAGAATTTCCAGAGTTTTCTCCCCAGGGCAAAAAAAAAATAAAAATATTTCTGTGCAATTGCCTGGTATTCACACAGCTTCAAAGCATTTTGTGCAATTGTTCTGTACAGAAATGGATGTAGGGTTATGTATAGGAACTAGAGATTTTGCCCCAAAGCTGTTGTTTCCAGACAGCCATCTGTGTTTTTAATGCAAGATTCCTGGGGTGTGTGTGTTCCACAATAAAAATCTTGCACACCTACAGTCTTCCACAGAAAACAAACCGTGTGCATATTTTGTGTGTATGCAAGATGGCTGGTATTTTGTGCAAGTTTTTTCCCCCTAGTGCAAGATTTTGGTTATTCCTGGATTCTTTTATGTAGAGAATGGCAGATGTGTGCAAAAAACACACTTAGCTATCTGGAAATATTGGGTTCTCAATTCTCATACAAATTCTCATACAAACTCCCCACATGTAATTCTGCAAAGAATCATTTCCTGAGCCACTTCTGGATGTGCAAATATGGGGTACAAACTGCACCACAATCCCGCCACTGCATTATTCATCCCTACAAAGTTTTGCATTTGTCATTAAATCCATTTAAATCACAGAATGGCTGGGATTCTGGTTCAGAAATTTTTGTTGTTGCTATGTGCCTTCAAGTCCTTTCAGACTTATATGGCAACCCTAAGGCCATGTTTTTCTCTCGGAAAGATTCGTTCAGAGGGGGGTTTGCCATGGCCTTCCTCTGAGACCAAGAGAGTGTGACTTGCCCAAGGTCACCCAGTGGGTTTCCATGTCCGAGCTGGGATTCGAACCCTGGTCTCCGGAGTCATAGTCTAATGCTCAAACCACTACACCATGTTGGCTTTTAGGAATTATAACTTCACAATTGCCCGTAGGTGTGTAAAACTGAACTGAGTAGTTTTGTGATGCGTGCATTCACCTTGAGGCTGCCATGATGTGGCAACAGGGGCACCTGTGTGCAGTGGAGTAATGTGGATTGTGCAAGTGATGTGCCCAATGTGCCACACCCTGATGTGCAATGGGTACTAATTTATTCTTATTTTATTTATTTATAACCCACCTTCATCCCATTATAGGGACTCAAGGCAGCACCCTTAAGTCCCAAATGCACCCTATGAACATCTAGACACTAGCTAGGAGGTGCCTGGTCCCAAGGGGCACATGCCCAATGCCCATCAGACATGCCCAACATGCACCAGAAGCACCTGAAGTGTCGCTCGCCCAGTCTCAATGGGTACTAAGACATCCCTAGGAAACTCAGTGAAACAGAGGCAGATGGCACTTACAGCACCAGCCATTATTATATGCCTCCCCTTGCTAAGCAGATCTTCCTCCCTTCCGACTGCATAGCCCATCTTGCTAAGTGCATGTCCTTGAGAGCTGGAGTGACTCCTTATTAGCATATATTTCAGCCTGTCTGTAATTTGAACAAAGGATGGGAAAAGGAGGTGGGTGCTTTCGTTGGAATCTGGCACCCGGCACTTGAGAGAATGCAAAGATTATAGAACATATGATCTTATAAGGTGGAAGGGGTCCACAAGGGTCATCCAGTCCAACTCCCTGCCATGCAGGGAGACATAACTAAAGCAGTCCCAAAAGATGTCCACCCAGCTTCTGTGGAAAGAGAATCTCAGGAGTCCTGGTCCAACACTCAAACCATCATCATCATCATCATTATTATTATTATTATTATTATTTCGCCCTTTCCCCAAAACTCAGAGTGGCTTACGAGTTAAGAAGAGTAACACCACAGTGTCTCTCATAGGGTTTTCTTAGCAACGTTTTATTCAGAGATGGGTGTATCCTTGCTTTCCTTTGAGGCTGAAAGAGTGTGACTTGCCCAAGATCACATGGTATGTTTTCATGGATGATCAACAATACGAACTCTGGCCTTCTGGAGTCCTAGTGTGCATCTGCACTGGAAAAACTGATAACACTTTAACTGACATGGCTCCATCCTATAGAATCCTGAGATTGGTAATTTGGTGAGGCAGAAAAGATTAAAGATCC